TGGACAGAATAATGTAGGAAACCAAGATAATCCTTAACATAATGCAAAAAATGACAACAAACAAAGGAAACTTAAACGGCTGGGCCAAAATGACCCGGGACCATGACAAAAATAGTCTTTAGTGGTTGATGACGTGGCTACGTTGTTAGCACTGCTCTGGAGCTTTTGTTTCCCTGTGATGGAAAACTATCTCATGTCTTTTTATAAACCCTCTTTAGTGACATTTATGAATCATCGGAGCCTACGACAGTGGTACACTGAACTTTTAATGAGTTTTCAAGAGTTATATAGATTCATAGGAACTGGTTGGATGGATGGACAGACAGGGACAGACAAACAGGAAACAGATGCATTAGAAAACTTGATGTATCCATATGAACAGGCTGAAGCCAAACAAAGAAAAAGTATACCTCTATGATAGAGGTATACTTTTTTAATCTTGCATTTTTCCCATCTATGAAGACGGAGTCTACAAGCTTCCCTTTTTGCTTACACCGCAGTGCAGAGACCAGATCTTCCGTGCAGCCTTAGCCCACTCAGATGGTACAAAAGCAATCCTCCAGCCTCTGAACTCATATTTAATCCTCTCTGAACTGCATTGTTTGTTGGATCTGTTAAGGAAGTCTGTACTGCTTCAACAATTTTACTGTGAGGCTGGATATAGACAGATCCCATTCATCTTTGTTGACTACCGGCTATTTTCTGCCATTTTACAAGTTTTTAAGCTTTTGGCAAACGCTTCCGTCTTAGTTTGAGTTGAGCACATTTGGATAAGCCTCAGTGAAAAACAAAGAGCTAAAATTCGATGAGCAGGCAGATTCTCGAGCATGTTGTTCCATTTTGAGATAAATGATGCAGTATGTGAATTGAGGTATTAGCATTAAATCCTTAAAAATAAACATTTTTAACAAAACCAAACATTCTGACCTCATGCATGTCGATCTTATTCCAGGCCTTTTTTAGCTGAGCGGTGCTAATAACATGGCAGCTGAGTGTAATCAGAAAGCTTGGATGTTACTCTTACCAGACAACTTGATGGAGTCGCGTTTTTCACTCTCGTCAAAGTTGGAGGAGGAGTGATCATCATCTGAATATGAACGATTTGCATCACCCTGTAGATAAAAAAAATCTATCAGACAGGACTCGTGGTCTAAAAGATTTTTTGTCACAGACTTTTTTTTTTCAGATTTTGTCATACGCCAGACCTTTAATCTCCAGGGCAAAACAGTGCTCCCTCACAACAGCTATCAGACGTATTGAAACATACTATCAGACAATCTTAGATCGACGCCCCTCCTCAAGGATAAGTCTGTAAAACCCTCAAAGTACTGACACACTACTCCAGGAGTCCTCTCAGACTTGGTTAAGACCAATGGGATTTCCCCTACAGTCTTCACTGAGGGAGTAAATTGGCTCAATAATCCCTAGTGTGTCGCAGTTGTAGACCCAGAACAGATGAGTGGAGGAAGGGGAGAGAGCTGGAGGAGAAAAGGAGAGAATAAAAGGCAGGAAGAGAGA